TTTGCTGACCGATCTGCAGCAGCTGCCCGTCCTGTCTGAGTCGGAGATTGTCGACGGCAGTTGCGGCGGGGACAGGCGCCCTGGTACAGCTGTGTCCGAGGCGGCCGTTGAGGAGTCGAACGCTGCGGAAGCCGTACTCGTCGCACCTGGGGGGCCCGTTGCGGTGCCCAGCAGCGACTCCAACGCCGTTGTCGTCGATGTGCGCTTGGTGGAAGACGGCACGCAGCAGGAGGTCGTTGAGGGCGTATCTCCGGCACTGGCTGCTCATGATCTTCCTCTTGGCCGCTCTGTCGGGTCAGGCGAAGTACTTGTTCATTCCCAAGTCGTCTCTCCTCTGGGTCAGCCTGCCGCTCCTGTCGCCTGTGGGGGTGTGGACGTGGAGCTCGGCAGCGCGCAGGTTTCGGCTGTATCCTCATCCTCCCCCTTCGACGGCAGAGACAAGGCGATCCGCGAGGCGGGCCTCGTGCGGCGGCAGCCTGATGTACCGCCGTGGCTGCTCGAGGTCAGTGGTTCAGATCCTGGTTGCGCCCGTTGCGATGGTACCCTCGTTCGTCGGCGACGCGGGCCAGGGAGGTGCTCATGCAGGGCATGTGGAATGCCCATTCCTCGTGGAGCGGATGTGGCAGCCTGTCCGCGCTGCCGTGCATCGTGGCACAGTTCGTGTCTCAGCCGTTTGTTCGACGAGGATTGGGACGACTCTGGCAGCTCTTCATGATGCCGTGCGTGCTCCTGTCCGTTGAGGTCTTCTTCGGGTTCATGCTTGAGGTGGGCTTCACGGCAGGTGCACTCACGCTACAGGTGGCCTCACCCCACCACCTGTGAGTATGAGGGGGTAGCTTGCCGTTGATGTTAAAAATCCTCCTCCTCCTCCTCCTCCCTCCTGTGTTTCCTCCTCCTCTTTCTCCTCCCCCCTTCTCCTCCTCCTCCTCCTCCTCCTCCTCCTCCTCCTGTCACTCCTCCTCCTCCTCCTCCTCCTCCTCCTCCTCCTCCTCCTCCTCCTCCTCCTCCTCCTCCCCTCCTCCTCTCCTCCTCTCCTCCCTCCTCCTCCCCCTCCTCTTCCTCCTCCTCCTCCTCCTCCTCCTCCTCCTCCTCCTCCTCCTCCTCCTCCTCCTCCTCCTCCTCCCCTCCTCGGGTCGCCTGCGGCCCCGGGGGAAACCGTCCACCTTGTCCTGGCGTCGTCTTGCCTGGAGAAGCTCCGGGGCGAGGGCCGGCAGCAGCCGCTCCCAGCGGTGGGGCCCGGACTCCTCTGCGGGGGGGGGCGCCTGGCTCCAGTGCCACTCGCCCTCCTCCTCCTCCTCCTCCTCCTCTCCTCCTCCTCCTCCTTCCGTCCGCCCTTCTCCTCTCCTCCTCCTCCTCCTCCTCCTCCTCCTCCTCCTCCTCCTCCTCCTCCTCCTCCTCCTCCTCCTCCTCCTCCTCCTCCTCCTCCTCCTCCTCCTCCTCCTCCTCCTCCTCCTCTCCTCTCTCCCTCCCTCCCTCCTCCCCTCCCTCCCCTCTCCTCTCCTCTCCTCGTCCTCTCTCTCCTCTCCTCTCCTCTCCTCTCCTCTCCTCTCCTCTCCCTCCTCTCCTCTCCTCTCTCCTCTCCTCTCCTCTCCTCTCCTCCTCCTCTCCTCTCCTCTCCTCATCCTCTCCTCCTCCTCCTCCTTCCTCCTCCGCCTCCTCCTCCTCCTCCTCCTTCCTCCTCCTCCTCCTCCTCCTCCTCCTCCTCCTCCTCCTCCTCCTCCTCGGGGGGCGGCCCGGCGATATCCAGGAGAAAATCAGGGGCAACGACAGGGGGCGATAGGCATACATCCCCAGGACGAAGGTTTGCTCTCGGGCCCGGAGCGACGGCTCGAAGTCTTGAGCAGACGCGCGTGAGATAACCGCCGTCGGATGCCGTGAAGTTCGCGCGGGTCCAATTGTGGTTTTGGCGTCTGCTTCGGTGGATCCGATTTCCGTCCGCGCGGATCCGATTTCGGATTTGCTGGATCCGTGTTCGGTCTTATTTTTTACGGTGGGTCTCGTTTTTACCCCGTCTTAAATTTGTATTATTAAAGTAAAACGGGAAACCAGAAGAAATCGGATCCGCGGACCCCGGAACCCGCCCGTGTTAAGATTCCACGGGGGAGTGGAGGTTCGGTCATTAACTTCCAACTCATCATCGCCGTTTGCACATCAAGAGGAAAATCGTTCGGCCTGCGTGAGTAGGGGGGGATCTGCATCGACACCAATCGCCCAATGATCGCCGATAGGGGCCCAATAGCCCCAACCCGCCCAGGAAGGTGCGGATGCGCGATCGGGGGCCTATCGCTGATCCATAGGCGATGTATCGCCGATTCCAGGTCGATGCATCCCCCACTATGCCTGTCCCCCCCTATCGTTGCCCCCCAGAAATATGAAGCACGCGGACACAGATAATTCATCGACGGTTCCAGGAAACGAATTGGGAGACATGGGGAGCGGGAGCCCTGGGACTTCGAACGTCTAGGAAGTGGAAAGTGGAGCTCCAGGGAACTTCTTCGGAAACCACAGAACGTGAAGGGGAATACGAGCATCCCGGACATATGGAGAGTATTAGGGACCTTGGGGATCATGTGTCCACTCATCGGCGTGCCCCTGGCCTCCCTCACATTTGTGTGTGTGTGTGTGAGTGTGTGTGCGACTGGGTTTAAGTCGGGCATGTCCCTGAGGAACATCGAAGAGTAGTAGAAATATACTATGGGGGCGATGTTTCGCACTTGTAGGATAATTGTCTGATCATTTGTTGACCATCTTCTTGATTGCTACTTGTTGGTTTATAACTGTTGTATCGGAATTGTTAGATAGTTGTTTTTTTACAAATCCGCCTGTGAGAGGACATGCCCAGCCTAAGAGTAAGTCGGGCGTGCCCCTGAGGAATGTTCAACAATAGTTCAGACTGGGGCTGGGCTCCGCGCTCGCGGTGTCGCCCCCGCTCGCCGGCCACCTCTCCGGCCGAGGGGCGCGCCGTTGGTCATCGAGGACATGTCGGCCTCGCGCAGGGTGGCACCCATCGCGAGCCAACGCGAGCACACACACACACACAGCAAGCGTTGAGTCGGGTCTGTCCCCCTGCAGGAGGAATATTAAAAATAGTCGGGGAACGATTTGTTGAGCATGTTTGAATATTTTTGAATATAGTTTTACTGTTTTTAAATGTTCCGTCCAAGATCTGCCTGTAGGGGGACATGCCCGACCTAACGCTGGCGGTGTCGCCCCCGATCTCTGGCCACCTCTCGGTCGAGGGGCGAGTCGTCGTTCACCGAGAACACGTCGGCCGCGCGCCGACGGAGCGACACCTGCCGCGAGTCAACGCGAGCACACACGCACACACACCCATTCAGTGCAGAATCAGTCTGAGCCTTCGGGGCATAGCGACTGCGAGCTTCAGGATCGGCCTGGCAGCCAGTTTGCCCGTGCCCGCCTCTTCCACCCCGTGCCGTTCTGTCGGCGACCAGGAGCGCCTCCGCCACCCGCAGGGCACAGGGCATTACAGTCAGGAGGGAAAGAAGCACACAGACACGATTCATCGTCGATCGCCCGGAAAATATGGGAAAATATGGGAAGTGGGGGGGAGGACGAAAACCCAGCAAACATGGGAAAGAAACACACAGACACAATTAATCGCCGATCCCCAGGAAAATATGGGAAGTGGTGGGGAAGACGAAAACCCAGCAAACATGGGAACACTATGGGGCATCCTGTTATCTGTGGTTACTTCTTTGTGTGTCCCAGGGCCCCTTCATACAGGGAAGGGAGTGCCAGTAAGGGTCGGCCACGCGCGCAGAGGGGGGGTATGGGGGGAGGACGTGAGCACCCCCGCTTCCGAGAAGGCGCGGGCCCGGTCCTCAGATGCAGGGCCGGTGCCTTCTGAGAAGCAGCCTCCCCCCAGAGGCCTTCCCCCGTCCCGTTGCCCCCCGTGGGAGCGCCGCCAGGTAAGAGAACCCCTAGTCCCCTGACCTTCCAGGAGGGCTAAAAAATAGCACCCGGCCTGACAATCTTCTCCTAGAGCTATTCTACGTTTTTTTTTAGGCTGGTTCGCTCCGATGTTTAGGCTGTTAGGCTTCCAGTGCCAAAAGATAGCTCTCTGGAAGGGCAGGGTCCGAAGTACACAGTGGAGACGCAGCCTAGCTTGGGGGTCCCTGTGTCTGTGCATCCGGGATCATGGTTCTGGGCGGTGTCGGTGTTGGCACATCGGCCGCAGAAGATCGCACCTCCCTGCCGTCCTGGGCCTCTTAGCTTAGATCCGCTCCCGAAGTGTGACGGGTCCTTCACTTGCTAATCCGTCGAGTTCGAGACTCGAGATCGGGGTGTCGGCCGACGCCGTCCGAGCCATCGAGGCCATTCGCGGAGCTTGCCCCTGCCACACGGCGACGTGCTCGGGCCAGCGGTCCCAGGCCTCGACAACAACGTGCTGCTCCTCAAGAACCGTCCAGAGTTGGGCGCCTTTCTTGGCCCATGAGTCCGCGAGTCGGTTTTCGCCGAAGCTCACCTATGAGCCTCCAGAGAAGTGGTCTCCTGAGTGCCCGATGGGCCTTGACCTGCTCAACCAAATCGGAGGAGCCATTTTTTTCATTCTAGAGCCTCCAGAAAATGACGCTTCTTATTCTTGGGTTCCCCGCATAGCTCACCAAGAGTGGTGAGGCTAAGGATGGATGGAGGAGGATGAGGAGCGGAAGCGAGCGGGAGGAGGGAGGGGAGGGAGGAATTATGGGAGGAGGAGGCTTGAGGCGTCATTGAGGTTTCCCCAATTTGCTCCCATCCTCATCATTTTTCTCCGTCTCCTCTTCGTTCCCATTTCCGAGCCTCCCCTCCTACAATCCCTTCTCCTCATGATCGTCTGCATCTTCGCCACCATCCCTGTGATCTCGTTGCCATCCACACCACATCATCACCGCCATCCCCCCCCCCCGCATTCACCCATCACTACCCGTCATTATCACGACCATCATCAATACTGTGTCCCACCAGTATCGCCGCAACCACCAATCTTATCATGTCGTGCGGGCTCAAGGCTCAACGTGCTCTTGGCCACGTGCCCCGTCGCAGCCCGCACCCCGCCGACGCCGCGAGCAGCCTCCTTGGCACTTGAAGCGCGAGCATGGCGGCGCCGGCAGACGCGCGGAAGATCGTGAAGAAGCGCATGAAGAGGTTCCCGCGTTTCCAGGCATCGAAGAAGACTCTCGGTCAAATAAGGGAAAACGCCACAAGCATAAAGTGTTGGCGCTCCGCGCGGATTTCTTGGATCGGCGCCTTGGGCCCCCCCGGCGGCGCCTCCGGCGCCGCCCCCGGCGCGCTCCGCGCGCCAGGCAGGGCCGGGGTTCCAGCGCAGATGCCAGAAACCCGGGTGGAGCGCCAACAGATGGTGCTTGTGGCGTTTTGTATGCTTGTGGCGTTTTTGCTTATGCTTGTGTTTATGCTCGTGGCGTTTATGGCGTGCCTGTGCGCGTGGCGTGTCTGCTTATGCTTCTGGCGTCTCTTCTTCAACCCTTAACTCAGGGGCGAGCCCGGGGAGCGCAGGGAGAAGGCGCGGGCCTCCGCAGAAGGCTCGGAGGTCCCCCCGGCCTTCTGCCAGGCAGCCTAGGCTTTTTTCCCCCCCGAAGGCGCAGAAAGCCCCGAGGATCCAGGATCGGTCGAGGGATCGATCCAACGTCACGATCCTCGGGGAGGAGGAGGAGGAGGAGGAGGAGGAGGAGGAGGAGGAGGAGGAGGCGGAGGAGGAGGAGGATCGAGGATCGAGGATCGAGGATCGAGGATCGAGGATCGAGGATCGAGGATCGAGGATCGAGGATCGCTCGAGGAATCGACCGATCCTCGATCCTCGACCCCCCGGGGGGCAGGAGCGCCCCCCGAGGGCGCGGGGCGCACGTGCCGGCGCGGGTGGGGGGGGGGGAGTTCGCCGGTGCCACACGCGGCGCTGCCCACGCCCCCCCCGGGAGGCCTGCGCCCTCTCCGGAGGCGCGAGGGCTTCGGGGGCGGAAGAGAGGGGGGTGATGACTTAGGGGGGGGGGGGATATCATGGCGGGGGCCATGGCATGTCCCCAGATTTCATGGCGCCTCTTCTTATTTCATTACGTCCCTGGCCTCCCCGCTGGGCAGCGCACAGGCCGCTGGTCATGATTTGCACCCCCCCCTCGTGGACACCCCCCTCTTGGCCGCTCCCGAGAGGGCTTCGGAGGAGCCCCGCCGCCATTCCGAGCAGGCCTTCTCCTTCTCGTTTCCCTCCCCCGCCAGTCGCCGGAAAACAGACTTGCGTTCGTTGAGCTCTCAGAGGTCGGGCGGCGGGTCTTGAAAAGTTTATTCCGATGCCGATCCCTCTTCTCCCCAGGCAGACCGCTTCAAGAAGATGAACCAGTCCTGGCGCAAGCCCGTCGGCATCGATGGGCGGGTCCGCCGCAAGTTCAAGGGGTCCACGCAGATGCCAAGCATCGGGTACGGCTCCGACAAGAAGACGAAATACCGCCTGAGGAACGGGTTCTACAAGTTCCGCGTTCAAAACCTGTCCGATCTGGAGATGCTGCTGATGCACAACGAAAAGTATGCCGTGGAGATAGCGCACAACATCGGGGCCAAGAAGCGAAAGGAGATAGTCGAGCGCGCCGACCAATTGCGCTTGTTCGTCACCAACCGGTTCTCGCGGCTGCGCACCGAGGAGAACGAGTGAGTGCGGCGGCTGGTTCTGGGTGACGCCACTCCAGAGGCGCGCGGGGCGGATGGGGCGATGCGCGGAACGCAGCAAAACCATCATCAACATGATTTGCCTTGTTCCTCCCCCTCAGTCCACTCCGTTCCCCTTCCCTTCCCCTCGTGCTCAGCCATTGCCTCATCATCTCCTCTTGCTCATCCCTTGCCTCATCATCTTTGTGTTGCCGCATGCGTTCATCCCTCGTTATCCTCCTATCCTTGTCTTCCCCTCGATCGTCATCATGCTTCTGCTCACGCCTCTCGGTCGCCTGCCCCGCGTTCCCCATCCGACCTTTCCCCGAGGCTGACGGACGGCACGGGTTGGGTCCCGACGCACTCGCGCAAGGACCCGACGAAGAAGGTGGCGACCGAGGCGTCTCGGTCTCTCTCGCGCCCCCTCTCCGCCCCTCGAGCGATCCTGCAGCGGCCAGAGGGCACTCGAGCACCTTGTGCACGGGGCTCCCCTCTGAACTATCCCTTCTTATTGTCCGTTCGTTCCGATCCGTTCGTTACTTCCTCAGCTCTTCTCATGCCCCTCTTCATCCCCCCTCTCTCCGTCTTCTCCTCACCCCCCCCTCCTTCCCCGCATCTATCCACGTCATCCCTCTTCCCTCGACCTGCTGATCCCCCCATCCTCCTTGCCCCTACTGTGATGTGCGACCCTTCCTCCTCCTGCCATATAACTCCCTTCTCTCCGCCATGTCTCCTCCTCCTTTGTATTCTCTCCTTCTTCCTTCCCATCATATTTAGTTTGCTCCCTCACGCCATCCTCTTGCTGCTTCTTCCATCCTGCCTCCCTCCTTGCCTCCCTCTTCCGTCCTGGCCCACTTCCCCTTCTTCCTCATGTGCGTCATCTTTGTTACATTCTCCCTCTAGTCTACCTCCCTTCTTGTCGTTGTTCTCATCTTTCTGCCTGTGCTCATCGTTATCCTCCTCCCGTCCCTCATATTCCGACATCGCTTTACTTCTTCAAGCATCCTCTCATCCTCCTCTTGCACCTTCTCGCCTCGTTCTCATCCATCCTCCCAACCTCCTCCCTCTTCCTCATCTTCCCCCGCCCCCCCTCGTCCTCCTCGTTCACGCCTCCGCCTCCTCGCCCTCCCCCCTCCTCATCATCCTCCCTCCTTCTTCTCCTGGAGGAGGAGGAGAAGGGGAGGAGGAGGAGCAGGAGGAGGAGGAGGAGGAGAAGGAGAAGAGGAGGAGGAGAAGGAGAAGAGGAGGAGGAGAAGGAGAAGAGGAGGAGGAGGAGGAGGAGGAGGAGGAGGAGGATGAGGAGGAGAAGGAGAAGGAGAAGAGGAGGAGGAGGAGGAGGAGGAAGAGGAGGAGGAGGAGCAGCAGCAGCAGCAGGGAGAAAGGGGGAGGAGGAGGAGGAGGAGGAGGAGGAGGAGGAGGAGGAGGAGGAGGAGGAGGAGGAGGGGAGGAGGAGAGGAGGAGGAGGAGGAGGGGGGGGAGGAGGACGAGGAGGAGGACGAGGAGGAGGAGGAGGAGAAGGAGGAGGAGGAGGAGCGGGGAGGAGTGGCGGGGAGGGGGAAAGCAGTGCGACGAGGAGGGAGGCAGCGGTGTCTCGGGGTGGCGCGCGCCAGCTCGCCCCCGCCCTTCCACGCGCTCCGCTTCTGTGTGGTCGCGTCGTCGTGTTAGCTCGGCTGCGTAACTTCTTCCCCCCGGCCTCGTGCCACACCCCCGCGCACGGGCGCGTCTTGCAGGACTTGGGCTGTGGCCGACGGGGGCCGACACAGGAGCAGTGATTCATGGCCCACGCGCCACGGGGGTCCCCCTGAGTGGCCAGTGCCGGGCGCACCTTTTTCCGTCTGCTGCTCTGGTGCCGCTGCCCCCCATGCATGTTCGACTAGCAAATTTTGGCCGCTCCCCTCCCATCCCGCGCAGCCCTTCCTTGGGGCGTCTCGAGGCCGTCTTGGAGGTCTCCTCAGCCGTGCTGGGCTGACGGGCGCCCGAGAAGGCGGCAGGGCGGAAATTCTTCAACATCCAGCGGAAGGTCAACGACTGGGGCCTCCTTGGGCCCTCCTGGGGTCATCCTGGAGCTCACTTGGGCCATTGTGGGCCTCTTTGCTTGGTTGCAACTCCTTGGAGCTTAAATTCAGCATCGGCGCTTAATCGTTGCAACCTGGCCCAATCCCGGGCTCAATCTGGGCCCCTCCGGCTCACTGACCTTGCAATCGGGCGCAAGAATCAGCCGGGAAGTGCGGAGCCCTCCCAGGAGCTGCCCCCTACCTAGCACTTGTCGGACGAGGCTAGGACGAGGATAACTCCGTTCCAGAGCGTTCCAGAACGCTCTCAGAGCGTTCCGCACCGCTCTGAAAAGGCCGGAACTCAGAGAGTCTCGCCTTATCCTCACCCGATTGTATCCTCGTCCTGGCTTCGTCTTGGGCCGTATTGCCAGCCTCCTGGGCCGCCTCCGTGGGGAGGGCCCCCCCCCGACGGGGGCCCCGGCGCGTGCCGGCAGCGGAGGCGGAGGGCACCGCCAAGATCGACGTCGAGTCGGAGGTCAAGGAGGGCGCCGCGGAGGCGGGCGCGCGTTGGCACCCGCGCCGCGCCGCGCCGTGCCCAGGTCGAGGGAGAGGAGGAGGGGGGGAGGGGGAGGAGGAGGAGGAGGAGGAGGAGGAGGAGGAGGAGGAGGAGGAGGAGGAGGAGGAGG